TCAGACTCTCCAAGGTGGTGGTAGTTCCCGCTCTCTATGTGGCACAGACTCGCCTCCCCCCCCGCTCACCCCCCCTCCCTCCCTCCCTTCCTTTCCTCTATGTGTGTGTAGTATAGGTGCCTGTGGTGGTCAAAGGAGTCAGACCTCCTAGGGCAGGAATTACAAGTACTTTCGAGCCACACAGTGTGGGTGCTGGGACTCCAACCCTAGTGTTGTGCCTGAGTAGTACCCTGGAGCCATTTCTCCAGCCCCACACCCTTCAATCTGTTTCCCAGGCTTAGGTTGTGTTACATTCCCTAAGTTCCATGTTATCTGGGACTCCCAGGCAATGGTACTACAGCTTGGTGCTGGAAGGTGGGGATTGCCTGACAGAAGTGGGGGAGGGAGCAGGGCTTACCTGTGAATGAGGCTAGTCTTTCCCACATAGAGATCGCCAACTACCACCACCTTGGAGAGTCTGAGCCTGGAGGAAATATGTCTGCGTCAGCCTGGAGAGTGGTATCACGAGTGTCTTCAGCATATCTAAGTTTGCTTCCCTGAACTAACTGAGTCACCCTTCAACCCTAGATGTACGGATGCTTACCCCAAAAGCCACTCTCAGGTGCTGGGGTGTGGGAGAACTTACTATCATTCTGGGAATCCTGCCGCCCCTAGGCCATATACCTTTGATGCCATTTGGCCAAAGTCATTGTCCTGAGAATTAGCAATGGGCACGAGGTGGGGAGAGGGTGAGCCACAGAATGAGGGGGGCAGGGAGGAGAACATGGGAGGTACTATGAAAACCAACATCAGATGAGGCCAAACTGGTGAGAGGTGCTGCACCGAAGGGGCTCACATGCAGGAGACACCTTTGTGAGGTATCTATCCTACCTCTAAACTTCCACGCACCCTCTGGGATGCGCACCTGTGTGGGACTAGACCACCAACCAAGGAGTGTACAGGGAGAGATCCCTGGCTCCAGATCCCTGGTAGCAGAGAATGGCCTTGTCTGACATCAATGGGAGGGGAGGCCTTTGGTCCTGTCTCCACAGGAGGTTTGATGCCCCAGCATAGGGGGATGCGGGAGTGGTGGGGTGGGAGAGAGTGGGTGGGTGGGGGAGCACCCTCACAGAGGCAAAGGGGAGAGGGGAGAGGGCAGCTGTGGGACGGGAGGTTTGTGGAGGGGTAACCGGGAAGTGGGATTATCATTTGAGATGTAAACAAATGGAAGGATTAATAAAAACATAAATAGATCAAATAAATAAATAAAATAAAAACATCGCATAGCAACTGTATATTCTAGGCTTAAAAAAAAATCTTGTGGCTAAAAAGTACAATGAATAGAAGTCATGTGCTTAAAAAAAAAAGCATAGCCCTGTTGGAGTAGGTGTGGCCTTGTTGGAGTAAGTGTGTCCCTGTGAGCGTGGGCTTTAAGGCCCTGGTGCTAGTTGTCTGGAAGTGAATCTTCCACTAGCAGCTTTCAGATGAAGATGTAGAACTCTCAGCTCCTTCTGCACCATGCCTGCCTGTATGCTGCCATGTTCCCGCCTTGATGATAATGGACTGAACCTCTCTGAACCTGTAAGCCAGCCCCAATGAAATGTTGTCCTTTATAAGAGTTGCTTTGGTCACGGTATCTGTTCACAGCAGTAACACCCTAACTGAGACAATGTACCTTTGTGCTTCTATTCTTCCTTCGGCTTCCACACCCTCGTACCACAGGCTTACCCAGCAGTGCCTGTGTTCCTGTGCTGGCAGGCTGCGTTGACTTTGCTATGGAAGTGCTCTTTGAGCTGCAGGCAGGCATCCGGTGTGTACCACTACAGGAAGACAGACAGACATGGAGATGGGCAAGCAGACCGTCCTGCAGTGCTGCATCTTGGTAACACAAACTGGGCATCAGAGTGGTGAGACCTACTTCCCAACCCTCCTTCTCTCCTGCAGCTTGAGGCCTGAGGTCTCTTTAGTGTTCCTTGTTCCTGGTAATGCCGTGGGGTGTAGGGTAGGAAGTTTCTCAGACACGGAAATAGAGGGGCACAGAATAATAAAGAGAACAACCTGTGTTGGGAAGCATCAGATAGACCTAGCCTGACCTGGTTAGTAAGTCCTCGGGCCTGACATGGTTCTGGGATGCAGGACAGATATGGCCACCTGTAGCCACAGGAATCCCACCTTCTGTGAATATTGGACGGAGTCCCCTGGGCAGTCTCTCTAGGGCTGGGTCAAATCTTAGTTTTACCAAGGCTAAGTGTATGGAGGTCAAACAGTTTTCCATGTCTCTCTGAGCCTCAATGTCTTACTCTGTGAATAGTGTCTTTTGTCCCATGAGTCTGGGCCTGGTTGTTTTTTTTCTGATTATACTTCCTTTCTCTTCGGCTCATTGAGATGCCACTCTGTATCATCCCTGGTTACCATGGTCACACTCCATTGGAAGAGCAATGGCCCGAGTTCACCGTAAAAAAAAAAAGCCCGGGGAACTCTGCAATATCTGAGGCACAAAGGCTTTCTCTGTCAGTGTGTGGAGGACGTTGGAGGGAAAGAGAAAGAAAGGGGAAGAAAGGAGACGAAGCAAAGGCCGAAGATGGGGACACCCACAGTCAACAGCCCGGGCCTTCCTCTACCAGCTTTGTCACAGACTCCAAAAAAAATAACAAACAAGTCAGCTGATCAGTGGTGGCACACGCCTTCAATCCCAGCACTCCGGAGGCAGAGGGAGAGAGGTGGATCTCTGGAGTTCAAGGCTAGCCTGGTCTACAGAGTGAGTTCCAGGCAAGCCAGGGCTACACAGAGAAACCCAGTCTCCAAACTGAACCAAACCACCAAAACAAAACCCAAACAAATCAGAGTATGATAAAACAGCCAAATAAGACAAAGAGCCAAAGAAAAAGCACGTGAAATGCATATAGAATCAGATGCGCACATGTTCACATACACCGAAATCCCAAAGAAACCCCAACCAGAAGTCTTTAACATATATATATATATATATGTGTGTGTATGTATATATATATATATACATATATGTATGTATATATGTATTCAAAGACTTACATGCTAGAAGAAGAAGGAGGAGGAAGAGGAGGAAGAGAAGGAAGAAGAGGAGGAAGAGGAAGAGGAGGAAGAAGAGGAGGAGGAAGAAGAAGAGGAAGAAGAGGAGGAAGAGGCCCAGACCTAGCATTATGAGACAAAGAACCTCCAAAGATGCTATTTAGTTTTCTGTTGGCTATCTACTAATAGGCATGGGGCCTATTCTTCAGGATGGTTTGTTTCCCAGTGAGACTCCCTTGGAAAAAACTAATTTTTCATTTTCTAGTGGCTATCAAAGGACAACAGGATCTCCATGTTACCTTTCAGAAATATTTTCTGCACGAACTAACAAACAGACATTTCCTTACCTTCCTGCCCCCTATTTCTTGGTGATTCCAGGAATTTTATCAAGTGTTCCAGCATAAGGCTATGCTGTAACCCACCTCTTTTCTTACGTACATGGGAGCGTGATACACACACTTGACCACACATCTCTCCATTCTTTGCATTTTACGTAACAGTTGGTTTGGTCCTCCTTAGGACCTCCTTAGGACTAGGAAGAGGTGCCTTGTCCCTCCTATCTGTATCTAGGAACAATGTCACTACCGGCCTCCCTATGGAAACTGATGTTGAACATGACTTTCTGCTCACACTAACAGCTACAATGCCTGACCTTTCACACACTCTCCACTCATGCCAGGACATACACAGTTCAGATTCCTAGATGTGGCCACCTAATGGGCAAGGGTACCTGTAATATGGGTAAATACTGTTCCTCTGTCCCACTCCCCCCATAAATGTTATTTGGCATTCTCCATTGCAATTAATATCAGTCTGTAAAACAGATTGGAGTTTTTAGCAAAAAAACGAAGGCAGATTAACAATGGAGAAAACCCTAGATTTGGGGATCAGAAAGTAGGACATTTTTTTTAAAGACAAATCTTGTTACATAGTCTAGGCTGACCTCAAACTCACAATCCTCCTGTCTCTACCTCCCAAGTGCTGGGACTACAGGTGTGTGCCACTACACCTGTGTGATCTCTTTTATATTTTAGAGGAACTCAACACCTAGTCTCTTAGCTTCTTAGAAATTAGATCAACCTCTGCAGCTCGCTTGCTTGACTTCTGGGCATGAAGGCATGTTAGCCAAGCTGACTATGGCTGAGGTGTCCCATCAGCAATGAAGACAAGAAAGGGCTGGGAACAGTGGCACATTCCTGTCATCCCAGCGTTTCAGAGACGGAGGCAGGAGGATTGGAACTTTAAGGCTCATCTGGAATACATAGTGAATTCCAGGTTCTTCTGGGATAATAGAGACCTTCTATCAAAGCTATCCAGACCCAAACAAAACAGAACAAAAACAACAACAAAGGTGTTCTAATGACTGTACCTTTGGGAAGCTGGTGATGATGCGGTCCTGGCTCACAGGGGGCCCCAAAGGGGTCCAAAAGGACCTCATTCTTCCAGTGTTCTGTAGACTCAATCAGGTGGGGTAAAGAGTATCACATAAAACATTTATGAGGTAGTTTTTGCATTATGGCCCAGCAGATTAAACTAGAACAGAGTGTGCTAGGTGTCACGTGATCAAACAGAATTCCGAACAGAAGTCAAGGGGACCAGTCAACCTAAGCCGGCATGAATTATCCCTCCGATCAAGTAACTTTGAAAAAAATCAATTTGCTTTTTACTGTTTTTTACTCTCTTTTCTTTTTCTGTCTATAAAATCCATCTCCTAGTCACGTGTGGTAGTGACACGGGTCTATGCACGCAGCCCTTGGGAAGCAGAGGCAGGGGGATGATGAGTTCCAGAACCCTTGGGTGACATAGTGAACACTCGTCATGCAAAGACACCCAAATGGAACCAACCAAAACATGACAACACTCAATTTATTTAACAGGATGAAACGTCACCCAAGTCTAGATTCACAGAGCCAATTATGACAAAAACAAATTGTTATATTTGTCTTTTAACAAGACTCAGAAAGCCATACAAGTTCTCAAAATGCACCTGTGAGTTCACACCTCTGGGTCTCCATCCCCCTCAGCAATATGAGTTCAGTCTGTGGGTAGCACAGTGGAGGAAGGGCAGCCCATAAGCCATCTATCCCAGAGTCAGGAGGTGAGATCTCCTTGACCCCATGCCTAGGAAGAGGGGCTCCTTCTCTGAACTCACTTCCTTGGCATGTGGGAGGTATGCAAAACAAAAACAAAAACAAAAAACAAAACAATCCAAAAAGCAAACCAACCAAACAAACCCAATCCTGGTTCTGGATCACAGTTCAGATCATGGAAATAGAGTAGGGACCCCTCCCTGCCCTTAGTCTGTTATAAGATGGAGCCTCTGAGTGACTTTAGGTTCCAGCCATTTTCCCTGAGAGTCTTACACCACCTAGAATCTACCCCACCCCACCACCACTCTAAGCCGGCTGTCCTCTTTTGACCCGGTTCCCGCAGAGGCCTGGCTCAGGATGGCCGCTCTGTGAGGAAGACCAGGGCCTGCAGGCCACGCTCAGGTTGGGAGGTAGGAGGAGGGCAGGGGGCTCGACAGCCTCAGGACCTTAACCTCTGGGAGGCGTCCGCAGCCGGGAGGGTGAGTGGACTCACCAAAGCTGCAAAGACCAGGTTCCGGCGCGCTGGCCGCTGCAAATCACCACAGCAACAGCGGCCTCGCGGGATTGGCTCGCAGCTCCCGAATCCCGACGTCGGGGGCGGGGTCTGGACCCTCCTCCAGTCCGTGGATACGGCTGGCACCGAGCCCCGCGCGGAGTCATCACCATAGCAACGAGAGCCTCCCGGGACCTAGAGCTCCGCACTGCTTGCTCAGAGACTTCCGGACTCCACTGGAGCGCCCGGGCTCACCATGACAACCAAGGCGTTGATGAGCAGGCGGGCCCGGTGCGTGGGGTTGGCTCAAGGTTCACTCTGGCTACCTTGGTGGGCCGGGTCGTGACAGTCCCCGGAAAAGGAGTTTTGTTATGGTTTTGAAGCCAGGCATCTTCCCGGCTGCAAGGGAAGGACACGCCTCACGCCTACCAGCTGCCTTATTGCATCCGTTTGAATTTAATGCTGTTTGGAAATCATGTGCCTGGCTTTCTGGAGCGCAGGCTGAAAAATTAATTTCCTCAGTTAATGGATGTTTAAAAAGCGACTCAAGTTACTAGGCTCCTTCGAGCTAGTTTCTGTTGAAAAGCAAGGTGTGGGGGACGGATGTGTTCCAGAGGCTCTAGAACTCTTACCAGAACTCTTACTGAAATTGAAAAGTTCAGGCTTCCCAACTCTGGTTCTCTGGTTCTCTGGTTCTCTGGTTCTCTCTGGTTCGTTCTCTCTCTCTCTCTCTCCTCTCTCTCTCTCTCTCTCTCTCTCTCTCTCTCTCTCT